ACTTCCACGTTCTGAGAGGTAAATGTTTATGTCAATCAAGTCTGGTGGCTTTGAAAAGGGCAATATAACAGCTTCTGTTCAGGCATCAGCACTGTAACCAACATCACCATATTTTGGTAATGGCTGAGTGGGTGGTTCCAATTGAAAAACTTGGAAAAGAATGCAATTAGACCTGTCCTTTAAAGAAATCTTCTTCGTCAAAAATACAGTTTACTGTATCGTTAATCAAGAGTTTATGATACTAAAATTAACATAGTACCTAGTACCCTGGTATCAAAGTTCTAGCCACAGTGTAAGCAGGGCTTTCTGTAGTGTCCTTGGACTATCTCTCCCAACTACATTCAGGAGTGTAGAAACCCAGTTGTTGAGACAGCCTTGGAGGTGTTCAGGGATGCATTTGTCCACATATGTGGTGTAGCGTTACTGCAAATGCATTCCTGACCGCACTGAAGAAGTGTTCATTGTTGTTTTCTGCGTACATAGAGTGTAGCCTTACAAATCCCCAATATACTGTTCTCTACCCATACCACAGTACAACAATGTAGACAAGATTTTGATGGTCACATATTCTTCGAATTGCAACTATTTCCTTTTTAAACATATTAAAGTAAATCTAAGAAGGGATGAGCGCTCTGATCACAAACGGTCACCTAATATGCATGTGAGATTGATTCTAATGTAGGTGTGAACTGCTAACCAACATAACTCGTTGCCCTGTACACAATCTGGATACAAGATACCTGTTTAGATCCTATTTCTTATGGGAAATTGTAAACAGTTAAAAATATACATTTAAATACAAGGCAATTGATTGTTTTTCCTTTACTTACCTGTATCTACATGGTGATGGTGATGGACTTAACTTCATTAAACTTTTAAATCAAAAACTGATTTATAAATACATTTTGACAGATTTGATTTGAATTGGACTCAACAGAATTCAGGGTCCTGCCTTTGTCATATTCCACTTCTGTAGGCTGTAAACATTTTATTTTTTGCTCTCTGTAGGCACAGCAGGAGACCCAGAAGGCAGCTTTGAGCTACGAGAGAGCGGTCTCTATGCACACGGCGGCCAGGGAGATGGTCTATGTGGCAGAGCAGGGTCTGATGGCTGACGGCAAGAACACCCTGGATCCCACCTGGCAGGAGATGCTCAACCATGCTACCTCCAAGGTAACAGAGGAGGAGAGACACCGGCTATAAAATGATGACACCAGACTTGGGTTGAGTGGCAGTGTCTTAAATTGGATGATACATGTTTAAAGCAAAGTAAAACATTCACTTAAGTGCAAAGAACAAAAAATGTCAAGGGGCCCAGACACACCAAATTGACATCAAAGAATGACAACTGTTGGTGTCGCTTCACGTTACCTATGCCTTGGCCAAAAAGTTGCACCTGAACACACTGCAAAGACTACAATCGACAGCCAACTAGCGTGGACGTTCTGCCTGTGTGAGCAGAAATAACTACATACTAGCAGGCAGCAGTAGTCTGTATTCATCATTGAAAAAGGGAAACCTGAAGACCAAAAGGATGGATACAAGATGCTAGTTAGCATGTTTGCAGTATATTTGTGGTACGCTAGCAAACAGTAACACAAACAATTATGAGTTGTTTCTGCTAAAGAGCTCAATGGCTAAAAAATGATCTTACATGATATAAAAAGTTTGTTTTGGTCTCACTTCCTCTTGACTTTAGCTTCCAGTTTACTTTCCACACTTCCGTTTCTCTTCTCGTGCCGTAAGCTGAACTGCCAGTCGAGTGACTTCAGTCATTGGACAAAAAACAGCCCTCAAAGGCCAACTAGTGCCAACAATGCGGACACACCACACAAACCAGGGTGTGTCCTGCTCACTGACGACTTGACATTGACTGATAGACGAACGTTGGCTTGGTGTGTCTGGTCCTTAAAACATGTTGGATAGCGACATAGGAATAAAACAAGAGGCTGAATCAGTGTAAGTCCATCACCTTGTTGTTTATTTGAGCCTTTTTACATATACTCAACAAAAGAGGAATAGTGTTTTAAAAAAAAAAGTACTCCACTGATTTAGCATTGCACTCCTAAAACACTGGCAGACTCACAATGGAACATTTATATAAGGATCAAACTTTGTGTACCTTTTATGTTCAGTGTCAAGTGTATGTTATGTGAAAATGCAATAAACATATTTGTCGTATGCTCCACTGTAACAAAAAACTTTAGTGGAGACAATAATTGAATAAAGAGAGAGGTCGATACCTTGTACTTATTAACGCACTCTGCTATGTGTGTGCATTTAACATCCTGCCCCTGCATGTCTCTCACAGGTGAATGAAGCCGAAGAGGAGCGACTCCGCAGTGAGAGGGAGCACATGCGTGTCACACACGCCTGCCAGGAGGCCGAGGCACGGGTTCAGATGCTGCAAAAGTCCCTCAAAAGAGTCATTGTGAAATCCAAACCTTACTTTGAGCTGAAGGCCCAGTTCAACCACATACTGGAGGTAATGCAGACACAGGGAGCCCTCTGTTTGCGAAGCCTGAAGCAGATACAAGATGTTCTGTAGTGTGCCTTGTTATCCATCACTTCCAGTTCTCCGTTTTCATAAGAAAATAATCATTTGTGTTGTAAATGTGCTGCTGACTTGACAGAAAATGCTGCAATGTATTCTGTATGTTATGGATTTACTCGAGGTCACTGTTAGGTTATATACCTGTTTGGCATAAAATCAATGCTGAAATTGATGATGAAAGCTGCTGTGCCCTCTGTGTGACTCCAGGAGAACAAGGCCAAAGTGCTGCAGCTGGAACAGCAGGTAGCCAAAGTGAAGACCCGCTACTCCATCGCCTTACGCAACTTGGAACAAATCAGCGAGCAGATCCACGCTCAGAGGGGGAGGGACCAGGCTGAGGGAGGATGCACCACTGCCTGCGCCGGGCGGAGCCCCCCTGTTGGAGCTGAGTCCGACACCAGGGTTAAGAAAGAGGGTGGAGCCTGCGGCGGTGGCAGTGCAAGGGGGATGGATCGAGCGGATGCAGCCATCGACCTGGAGAAATACAAGGAGAAGGAGAATGAAAAGGAGAGGGAACGGGCAGGGTCGGATTCCCTTTCGGTCTTCAGCCTGCAGACCATTGCTTCCGACTTGGAGAAATATGACTCCATCGAGCACCTCGGGGATCTCAGCGACGTAGGGAGCGTAACTGGGGATGAGGGGGAGAAAGAGAGAGGAGTAGTGATAGATAGAAGGGACAAGCTCTCGGAACCAACCGCCAAAGAGCGGCAGCAGCAGTTCTATAAGCAGCACCACCGAAGCTTCAGTTTGTGAAGGTGTCGTAGATATGAAACAGTTATAAACACTGCAAAAGTGTGAGTTTAAAAAAAAAGTACAAAGTAGGGTAAACACCCCTAACACATAGGTACCAACCAAAGTATCAGATAGTCAATTAGCTGCAAATCTAAAATTGGAGTGATGCAGTTGTAGGTGTATGATATGATGGTGTAAATAAGCACACGCGCGTTGACTGACAACACATTATTCTAAAGCTGACATTGATCAATAGTTCATATTGCAGCCTAGTTAGAACACTACTGGATTCTAAAGCGCTTTCAACCCTCCAGGACAAGTATACTGTATATTCACTCCCTCTGAGGGATCCTGGGTAGAATTTGTTCCCTGAGCATGAAGGAACAGCGAAGAATGATCAAAAGCCCCGTCTGAACAGACATGTTTAGAAAGGCATCATTTCTTACTTTCCCAGGCTAATCGTTGATCTAATTTGTTGAGACTACTGAAAACAAAACCCTCCATTGCCTCCCCCTCCGGTCGCGTCGAGTCTTATCAGCGATTGCTTCAAGGTAGAGGGGGTCGCTCCACACACACCGAGATCCACACTCCACCCGCATCAAGTTAGTGTGCAGGGAAAAATGACAAAAACGATTCTCTGTCAGTGCAGAGTGAAAGCATGTTTGAATTCACATTTCCTATATTTATTTCCTGTAACATGCTGCAGGCAGTGCTTTGTTATTTTTGGCACGAGAGAATGCGTTTTTTGAAAATTCCTGAAATGGTGAATGGATGGAAGACGATAAGGACTCTTTCCACTCCGACAGCATGCACTCCTAGTTAGCTATCTCGACGGATGTTAATGACATGTATCCAGGGCTATATGCTGAGACAAAAACTGACACCATTAAAGCTAAGATGATAAAGCTGCAGCCATGTTTGTTTTTCTTAGTATGTCATTATGCTGTGGTCTTATGGTGCAAAAAGCCTTTTCCCCAAATGTATAATATTTGGATATTGTTTACATTTGTGTAAGTGGATTTCTTTGGCAGCGATTTCTCTTTTGTTGCCTTTTAAAAAAACAAACTTGCCCGTGTTGTAATTTGAAGTGTGCCTTGACACAGAACAAGTAACAAATTTAGCATGAGGAGCACTTTGCTGTTAACTGTAGTTCTGTTTAGAACCATTTAAAGAACAAGTGTGCGCCCTGTTATGATTTTTTTAAAAGAATGTTTTAACAATCTGATTCACCCAGGCGCTGTTTTCCGATGAGACTTGAAGAGTTTGTTTTGATTTCTGTTTTTTATGACATTGTACTTTTCAAAGTGTGTGACGCAAAGCGATGAAGTCAAGAAATGACTTGTAAATGTATGTAATTACTACAAAGCTGGAAAATATTGACATGTACAGTTACCACGTGTTTCCTGATTTGAATGTTTGATGAGTTTGTTGTACAGATGTTCAGCACAGTTTGTCGTGTGTATTTAAACCATTATTGTCGCAGTTTATCTGAAACACCTCACCTTCACTCCTGTCTTAACAGTTAGTTCTCACCCTTTTAACGGCATTTGTGAATTAGTCAGAATGTCACTCTCAGATTTATGCATTGCCATATCTATAATCAATAAACCAGATCATACTTCTTGGGCCTGTTTCCCTATTTGTTTGATACCTTGTGGGACTTATTGTAGTGGTATGTGTCAGGAGGCAGGTTAGGATGTGAATCTCTGTTTTACAGATGCAGGAAGAGTGGTGTTGAGAGACAGAGGGAGAGGTTATGTCTTCCTCAGCCTTCCTTCAATAATTCAGCAGATGTATAAATATGAAGCAGGATGCGGATCTCAGAATAGATGGCAGGAGAGGAGCAGAGGGTGGCGGAAAAGACACAAAAAGGGGAGATGAAGGAGGCGATGGGCTTTGATTTAATAGCTGACCAGTGTTGTAGAAATGACTGATTGTCGCTTCGTCGACTTAACTCCGAGGAGCTTTGGAAAAAGGCTTAACAATGTAGTCACTGTTAATACCACAGCGCCATATCTGCACCTCCATCCGTGTCTAGTCCTCCTGCCGCGATCTAATTATTAACGGTGGGATAAATCCACAAGCTTATCATAAACCCAAAGCCGCCTCGTAAGATTCATTGTGATATTTTACTGTTGTGGGCCCAGACCTGTTCCATCCTGGGAAGGAGGGAAAAGATACATGCGTGAGAGAGGCACTGTTACGCACGGTGCGTCTCCATCATGACGTCGTGAATTAGCTCAAGATTGTAAGAGTGGGGGGGAGAGGAGAGGAAAAAAGGAGGGGAGTGTGGTGAATCGGTGTTTCGTCGTTTATGGGGGATGCGTTTGTATATAGTGCATGTATATTTTTTTGTATGGATTTTTTGTCATTTCTTACCTTTGCCATGCGTAACTGCAATACATGGAAAAAGCCCGAGTGATTTTGTTGTTGTAACATCCTGTTTACGAACGGAGCAGCTTGCACATTTATAGCCATATTAATATAGCCATAAAAAATCGCTGTAAAGATGCATATTTTTACCAAATAATCCGACACTGGGCTTTCCCTGGCGGATCCACCCCGGAGGACGTACTGTTATCTTGACTGAGCGCATCGAAACTAATAGTAAGTACACATGCTACAGCTTTGCTTCAGGGGGGCTAGATGCTACTATCACTGTAGGTCGTGATGTTAGACCCCATTTATTCAGAAAATGCTCCATTTCCCATGCAGATAATCTAGACAGATGCCAAATTCGTTCTTCATTTTGTATGCAAAGGCCATTCGTTTTCGATGGGCACAGGCCAGATTTGTTTTGAGTTCCTTCTTGCAAGAATCACTGCATTAATGCTTTAAAAAGAGACGATGCCAGGGGGGGATTTCGCACCTTTAAAACAACATACAGTCGCTTTAATGACGAGATATGTTATTCCAAACGCTACTTTTGGGAGCCGTTCATATAAGGACTATACGGGCTTGCTAGTATGGTCGGCCTTCCTCTACAGGCCATCACGGATTCCCTTGTCAACAGCCGACAAGTAACTACCGGTAGCATACGGTTGGTGGCACCCTTACTGTGACCCTCACGTCTCAATAGTTCATGCTCAGCCATGCACAAAACACAGCATCTGAGTCTATGTGTGTGTGTGTGTGTGTGTGTGTGTGTGTGTGTGTGTGTGTGTGTGTGTATGTGTGCACCGTGTGGCCCTGCTCAGAGCTTGGAAATAGCCACTATATGCTTCTCAATATGAAGCTGTGTTTGGTGCTGAAATGGACCGGATCATCCCTTTCCCACTGCAGCTTCCGGCATTATAAACACACAAGGAAGTGGGCAGTGTCTGTGCAGTATCAGAGGTGGATGTGGATGGGGCTGTAGGTGTTTTTGTAACGAGGCTGCGGTGTTTGGGAGCAGAGGAGGCGCTGTCCGTGGTGCTGAAGCCTTAATTGCATTTCAAGCTCGAGGCTAGTCGGCTGGCCCCCTTCCTCCTGTCTGCTCAGTGCCGCTGCAGCCACACTGCTGATGGAGTTAGCTGGCTTTACGCTGGATAGGCTGCTTCATCCGCGCTACGCTCACTCGCACAGTTTGCTTTTATCCGGCTCAGTGTGTGTGATCGCTGATATTAATGACTCCTGCTGGGCTGTCCCCCCCCCCCCCCCCCCTCTTTTTCTCTCCACTGCCTCCCCCTCCCCTTCATCCCTCACAGGACAAAAGCACACACTGTACGCAGCCAACACACGCGCCCCCACGCACACACCAACACACGCATAATACACACTCTCTGGTGGTGTCTACCTCCTGCATGCTTCTTGTCAGTGAACTCTAAAAATACACTGGATAATGCTAATGAAGTATCCAGCAGAGTTTGTCTGTCTTCCACAAGCAAGCCTCGTTGCCATCTGTCTCCCTCACTGTGGTGCCTTTGCTTAGTTATGCCCCCAACCACCCACCAACTCCACCACACACACACACACACACACACACACACACACACACATACATACATACATACACATACTAACCCCCCCTCCACCCTCATACTGCCTTGTTAAGTGTACGGATGTGTTTATATTTGTGCATGTGTGACAGCCTCATAAAGCAACATTTATTATTCAAGATTGCAAATGAGGAGCTATATATAGAGTGTTTAGCATTGATACAGTTGGTTGTGTTTGTGTGTTTCCCTGCCTGCCGGCACTCGAGGCGCTGTGGCTCACGGGACTCGAGGGTCTTTTGACTTTTTACTGGTTGGCATATCTCACTCATTCAGCACTCATGAAATCTGCACGTTAGGCAGCAAGTGTGGCGGCTAAGTGGACTGTAGTTCCACCATCCTTGTAAAGTAAATAGTCTTTGTACACATGAACTCGTATTAAATCAATGGACTAGGTTGCCCATCCATGGGGACATTATTCACTGTTTGTTATTTGTTGATATTCTAGTTATTATTTATTGATTTAAAGAAGTATTTCATGGATGGAACGATGGTCTTTCCATAAAACTTTGAAAATACTTTTGAAATTGGTGCTATATGACCAGAGAAAACAGAGGAAAAAGGACAGTGGTGTTTGCTTTTGCTCAAGAGATAGAAAACCTACAACTACCAGAATGCACTGCGCCGCACTGCACCAGTAAATGCTCCTGCTGGTGGCTGATTATTGCAAACTTGGCCATGTTGACATAGGAAACAATATGGCGGCAGGCTGGTAACAAAGAGCCTGGTCTCACTCTGAAGTCAGCGTGAGACACCAATGAAAAAAGGCATCCTTTAACCTTGGCATGATACGCAGCGAGTTGCCGTTAAAGTTTAATGGCACCTGGCGGCATCAGGGGGAAATGCGGTGGGACAAGGACGAAAGTTAAGGCAGCGAATATCTGAGTGGGGCGGGCAGAAGTAGTGGTAGATTTGGCCAACAAACCCCAGCTTTCCCCTGAGAGAGCGGTGTTTGCGACCCGTAAGATTCTACAGCCAAACCCTGTTCTTTATACCTAAACCTAACCTAACCGACTTTGTACTGACGTAGTGTGTTCATTTTGAAAGAGACGTAAATGTGAAATTTCTTGTAAAAATGAAAGTGTATCTTGAAAGAAGACAATGCATGTAACAGGCAGAACTTGACACAGTGTCCCAAAACATCAACAACCAATGCACCCAGGGTACCTTGCATGTTGTATCTGGAATTGGAAAGTCCCTGACCAAGCACGTCAATATGTGACGAGATCGGAGTGAGAATGTGTTGTAACAAATGATCTCAAATTACAGTTATCTTGGTTCATACTTTATCAGCACTGCTCAGTGTTACTGTTTGATCTCAGTATTTTCAGCCTCCATTTTGACAATACCAGAAACAGTACGGCGTCTGCTTTTTATTCACAAATCCTCGTATTAGTGCACTAAAATATGTAGTCAAAACATACAGCAACATAATCTTGGGTTATATTTGATCAGCACTGCCCAGTTTGATCTGAGTTTAGTCTGAGTTTGAGTTTGAGCAAGACAGACGGATGGGTCTTTTATAGTTTCCTTGAGAGAAATGCAGAAGTACAATCTGTAGTTCAAGCAACATCCCGAGGGCAAGCGAAAACTGTTGAGCTGAGAGATGAGCAGGGAGATCTGTGTGTTGGCAAGATGGAGGGAAGTTTATCACAGTTCATTTACATATTCTTTTATATTCTTACACATTGTCATGGTACAAAGCTGGTTGGGAATCAGCAAAGTATGCCTTTAATTGTAGGTATAGGGAAACTCCTCCAATTTAGTCTGTCTTGGGGAGCACTACTGCAAATATGAGGAAAAAAAGTTTCATAAATCCTTGTGTGACTCCAGAGGCAGGAAGTGTTAAAAATAGAGTGGTGCAGGAATGAGTCCTAAAACCAGGAAATGAGTTAGCATTTTAGCACTCCCGGATCCCTCGTCTCGAAATCAATGGGTTTTTGGTTAGATGTCTGAAATAACGTCTGTGGTTACCACAAGCTTAAGAGACTTTCATGTTTTGTTCTACGTCATAATATACGTCAGTGAATACCCCTCATGGGAATTTTGAAGCTTTTAGGTGTCTCTTAAAAAAGGCAGTTGCTAACAAGTGGCTAAATGAGACTACAGAACACGGCTTTACAGCCTTGTGTGGTGTGACGGTGAAGTCATGTTCGCTCTTTTTACTTCTTGCGATTGCATTTATGCTTCAAAAATCATATAGTGTGGTAGTGTTGTTCATTTGTGGAGATTATCTTGCTAAGTATTATACACTTGTGTTTGCCACAGAGCTTATTTCCTGCAATAATCCAAAATCTGATGGAAAAATCCCAGTGGCTTTTTGACAAGGTAACCAGGAGGATGTTAACTTCTGTGTCAGGCTATAAAAAGACGTCATCCCTGCAGCACTCTATTGCCTCAAGTGATGCCAACGGTCAAGTTGCATTGTGGGTAATGTAGGCCCCAAGTTTTGACAAGGAAGAAAACTGCATTGAATTAAAAATATGACATCTGCTGCAACAATTTTATCCTTTTCATTCATGAGTCTGACAGTGTTAGCATAAAGGAGTGCAATGCTAAATCTATGGAAAATTCTTCCAGCATTTCCCCACCAGTGAATGGGTGTGGTGGGTCATTATGCCTCTAAAATCTGTCAACACACATAAACGCACCTCTCTGCCTGGCAATGGAGAGCTTTTGTGTTCACGCTCTACAAGCTGTTCCGGACACTTTCCTGTCCTGACATGAGGAAAACTTTGAAATCTATTGAGTCTGCCTTGGCATGAAATGTTTCTGTGCGCAGCCTTTTTGCAAAAAAATATCAGTGCCAGCCATCAAAACCTGAGCTGAAACTTTGTATACAGGGCTTTTGAAAGGAAGCCAAGCTGGCTATCAACTGAGCCTGGCCTGTCTGCACTGTAAATACAAATAGAATCAGGGAGAGGAAAGTGGACTCATCTTGCAGCTCGTCTTCTCTGTGCACAGTCAGGCAGGTTGAAAAGGGAGCATTCTTTGCCAAAAAGTTGATGCATCCCTTTTTAGAAGGACGGACAGCACTGGAGCGAAAATGACTGTATCTGTGGAGAGTGTAGCATTAATACTGTAAGAATATTTTCTCAGTAACCCTTTTCTTTTTGTCTCCCGTTTCCTGCTCTGTCTTTCTCCAAAACCCCCAATTTCCCCGTCACACTTCCCTACTTTTAAAACCTTTCTCCCCCTCTCTTCTCTTTTTCAGATCCAGAGATGGCACGACTATTGTTTCTGATTATTCTCTATGCTCTTCCATCTCTCGTTGTGCCCATACATAATTCATCGACTGGAGGTAATTTGTGTGTGTTTGTGACTGAGTATGTGTGGAAATCTGTTTGTGTGTGTGTTTATAATATGCCTTAATGGACAGAAGTAACTCTGCAGAGATTGCTAAGTGACCTGAATGAAGCGCTGTAATTTGAGCAGCGAGGAAGGCATTAGTTAAATTGACAATATGTCATGTTGCTGTAATATATCTACATTACTGGAGATAGAGCTTTTGCCTCTTTGCTCTTGCCGTCCTTCATTCTTCTTCCTCTTCTCTTTTGTTTTTTTCCAGGCTGCGCTATCATCCGGCCTCCCAGGGATGGGGGGATCCGCTACAGAGGCCTGACACAAGAACAGGTACAGAGAATACTGTTAGTACTCAGGATCTAAATTACACAACCTCACCTGTCAAATTAAACACATTAAAGGAAGACTTCGCCCACAAAATAACCATTTGTATATCACTTACTCATGCCGTGTTGCCTTGAGTTTGTGACGTAAACGTTTTCTCGTACATCTCCACGGAAAATGGTGAAAATATTGATTTGTTGATTGATTGAGGACCATGTTTGACTATAACAAAACTATATCAAGACAAACTCTCACACAACTTGTACAGTATTCATCCAGTTGATGCTCAGTACTTCCCAAACACGTGCATTTTCATCAAAACCTTACTACATAAATCCTGAAAGTGAAACTTATCTATACTCTCATCAAGGTCAGACTCTAATACTAAGGTTTATAGCAAAAATGCACGTGTTTGGATAACTGAGACTGGCTGCTTTCCGTGGAGGCACGCGAGGAAGTTTTCTTCATTGATTCAAGATAACACAGCATAACTAACTGATATACAAATGGTAAATTTGCGGGTGAGGTATTCCTTTAAATTACACTTTCTTTGTAGATTTTCAAAATAAAAAGCACAGAATTGGACGTATAAAGCAGCACTCAATGTTTCTGCTAATCAACGTATAAACTTTAATATAATCTGTGAAAGTAACATTGATAGCTGGTGATTATTACCTCGTATGAAGAGGGATATTTTAGCTAATGATATCGTAATAATGACTGATGATGTGACAACGTGCAGAAAGAATAGGTGTCACAATATCAGCTGACATTATTATTACACCATCAGTCAAAAATAAGTTGCATCAGTGCATCTAAAACTCAAAGGAATAGTTTGACATTTTGGGAAACACCACAGACTGCATGAAATCAGTGGACGTTGCTGCTGTGATTTGTGGGTTACCGTTTTGGATCCTCCTGCTTTATTGTCTGTTCAACTCTAAATGGGGCCGTAGTTTACAGACTGAACACAATTTTGTATTTAAGAAGACTTGAAACTAGCGATTAAGACTATAAACTCATTAGGTAAATGTGCCTTAAGCCGGGTACCTGCAGGTAGCCAGCATGTGAGGTTGTATTTTGCCTTAATTTGATTTCTGGGTTCAGTTCAGTTAACAAAGAACACACTTGTTGTATCGTGGGTGTTGGGTGATGATTAAAATAAAATGAGAAGGATAAGAATTTAATGCAATGTTTTGATGTTTTAATCATCTGACTGCTGACTTTGTGTGTTGGCTCTGTCTTCTTCAGTCAGGTTCATCACGTGTAGGCATGTTAACTGTGAAGATGTGCAGCTCAATATTATGACATAAGCAGAAATATTAAGTGTTATATCTTTGTTTTTGTTTTAAATGTCACAGAATGATCATTTTGAACATGCTGCCTAACCAAATAGTTTGAACAGCAAATGGTTATTATAGGATTTGCAGTTTAGGGTCAGGCAGCATGTCTTGTGTCAACAAGTCGGCTTGGTTGTGAAACTAACTGGTCATATGTGCAGGTGGCAGTATGGGCAGGTATGGTATTGCACGTCACGGTGCTGGTTCGGAAACAGGTCTTCAAAATCAGACCTGTGCAGGGCTCTGTACTGAGGTAATAACCCAAGTGAAAAGTAGGGTGATTTTCTCATAAACCTCCATCCACCTTACTCCCAGCCCCCATGATGCCTTGTATGAATTATGGGCGCGATTTCCAGCCCTGAACCAGAACCTGCATTTCCAATTGTAAAGTGACCCACTGGTACGCTAATCCTCTTTCCTAGAGTGAAGGTGAAATAAAGTATGTGGAACACACCTCCTGTTACACCTCACACGGGATAATGTGATCACACCTCTGCCATCTCTGACAGCCATCTTAAAGCATTGGTTGTTTTCCTTTTTAATCAGACCTGTCATTCTGGGTTTCATTCTGCTCTGCCAATTCTGATTTAATACTTCTCCACTCTCTAAACTCCTTTGGCTTTCTTACTTCTTATGTCATTACACATATGCGAACATAGTGTATGCATTAGAGTAGGGTGCGCACGAGAATACGGGACAAGTCATGTACCGTATTGATTCAGTAAGGGACAGTGCATTTTATTTTTCAATACAGGATGATCCAGTATTAACGTTTTACAGTGTGGGTGCAGTGTATTCCTCTCTGTAGGCAGGCGATGGAAACTGTACCACTGGTTACAGTTCCGGTTGCATGTTCAACACGCTGTTGTTGAAGTCACAAATTTAGCTCAATCTGGTTGTTAGTAACGTCACAGACGCGGACAGCACAACAGGTACCAGAGCTCCACAGGGACATTGTAGAAAATGCTAATTGATGATGGTTTAATATCTGCTAAAGCAAAGCAGTATTTGCTGAACTGAGTGTGAATTACTTTCGAAATGAACTTCTGTTTGCATTATCATTCCTACAGCAGCACCCTCAGGAATAAGGTGAATACAACTGGACGTCTTTTTGCTACCAGTGGAGTCGCTCTTTGCTGGCCATTTAAAAGAATGCAGGTTTAAGGCACTTTGTGTTGGCTTCACTTTATAGAGCCACACGTTACGTCCACTTCTTTTATACATTCAATAAGAAATGTGCATATTTGCTGTCTTGCTGAGACAAGACATTTGATTCCAATCTCGTGTCTGTGCAGTGAAATGACGATACAGCCAGCAGCTGGTTAGCTTGTCTTAGCACGAAGACTGGAAATAATAGCAAGCAGCTAGCCTGGCTCTGTCTGACTGTAACATAATCTGCTTACCAGCAACTTTTAGGAGACATAATGTCCTGGTTGGTGAGCTTTATGGGCAAAATTTACGATTATGCAAGTATTGTTCATTGTCCTCCTGTCCTACTTCACTGAAAAGTCCATCCTCAGTATGTGCACACTGGAGGTTTCAGGTTTCCACATCATACTGGTGTAAGGTGCATAGTGGACTAGCTTGGGGCTCCAAATTAGCTGTGATGTGGCAAAATCATACTGATATGTAAATGTGTTAAACTCGGATTTAAGGTGAGCACAGAGAAACCTTTCCCACTTCGGCAGATGATGTAAAAAACAGATGACTCTGCACATACATTATTCTGCAAAGTGAAGCTCAATCATCCAAGTGAAGCGACAATAAGCAACATTTCTGAGTGGATGTGGGCTTTAAAGCTCACAAGACTGTCATAAATTCTACACTGCAGTAAAACTCAAATTAGAAGAGAGATTGATGCAGTTTCAAAGTATAAGAAAGACTAAAATCTCTGCAGCTGAGCTTTTCTAATGTTTGAAACCTGATTGCACCACTCTGGATGTGTGCTCACATGTTTCAAATACACATACAGTACGAACACACCTCGACATGAAATTGAAACATCAAGCGTGGGCCCTCCTACAGGTTTCCCTCCTCTCCCAGCCAGAGGGAAGGTGTTATTTAGAGTGTGACAGCCCATCACTTGAGACAGTATCGCCATAAAATCTTCTTCCATGTAGAACTTTATTGTCGCAGCCATATGGCATCAGAGTCTTCTGCACTGAGGCAGACTGAAGAGGGTCCCTGAGTGACTGAGAAAAACCTGGTATGAGAGCACATCAATCATAATAACTGTTTTCCCTTCTCCCAATCTCTCTCCGTCCATGTTTCTCATTCAGATCCGCAGTGTGCAGATCCTCCCTGTGGATTATGAGATAGAGTACATCTGCAGAGGAAACCGGGTGATCGTGGGACCCAAGGTCAGGAAGTGCTTACCCAATGGCACATGGACGGACATGACTCTGCACAGCAGATGTTGTGAGTCCTTTTTGATCTAATTCTCATCCCCTTTGTATTCTGTCCTCTACCTTTCCCTCATCTTACCACAAATGTCCCTTTGCAAAACTTTTCTACTATATGCTAATCAGTTCTTAGGTGTTCTGTCCGGCTAATCAAGGTCAAATTAAAGCCACAGTTACAATAAAATAATAAAATACTGTGCAGTCTTCACTCTCACTTCTTAACGCCAGGGATTGGGGTCATTTTTATCCACAGTAAAGTAAAGAAATCTTAAATGGAGCTGACATGAAATCACACCACAGCCTTTTCTAGTGGTGGTTTCCTTTATTACCTTCCATTATTTTTAACTTCCACTTGGAACAGAAACAAGTTGTGAACACAGCGTTGCCTTTTAAAGAAGTTTTTCACTGCTGGAAGGATAGTCTTTTAACAAAACTAGGCTGTCTATGCAGTAAAAAAGATGCAAATACTTTTAAAATTGTTGCCACATGACCAGAGAAAACAGTGGAAAAGGGCTGTGACATTCGCTTTTACTAAAGAGGTAGACAACCAACAACTGCCAGAATGCACTGCACTGCACAGGACCTATATACTCTCCCGCTGGTGGGTGACATAATCCAAGCTATTAGATCAGTGCTGCTTAATTTTACAGTTTGATCATCTCACTCTCTCGATCCGCCTCTCTACTCTTTGTTGCCATGGTGGCAGGCATACAGACATGTTGAGGTACAATCTGTAGTTTGAGCAACAGCCCTAGAGCAAATCCGCCAGATGACGCAAAATGTGTATCCACTGCTCAGTATTACCATTTGATCTCAGTTTGTTCAGCCTCCATTTTTACAACACCAGAAACAGTACGGCGTCTGCTTCTTGTTCACAAATTCCCGTATTACAGCTAAACAGTGCATTAAAATATGCAGTCAAAACATAGGTAATACAGTAACATAATCTTGGCTCATATTTGATCAGCGCTGCCTAGTTTTACAGTTTGATCTGAGTTTAGTCCGAGTTTGAGAGAGCAAGACAGACGGACGGGTCTTTTATAGTTTCCTTGAGGGAACTGCAGAAGCACAATCTGTAGTTCAAGCAACAGCCTGAGAGCCAGCAAAAACCTTTAAGCTGAGAGATGAGCAGGGAGATCTGGGAGCTGGTAAGATGGAGGGAAGTTACCACAGTCTACCACATCATTATCATACAAAGCTGGTTAAACAAACGAAACGAAAGATTCCTTTACGTTGATATGTTGAACTTGTTGGCAGACAGTTGCACATCTAGCAGTTACGGAGCAACATTATCATTCATTTGAAGTCGTGATTGTGTCTTCTTGATGAATGTTAAGAGTTTACTGTCTTTCAGCTCTGTTTTTGGTCTCTACCAGCTCCTGAGGAAAATATCTGTCTCTTTCGTGGCTAAATTCTCCACTGTGTTCACCATTTAGTCTGTAACTGTGTCTGTCTGCCGTTTGGTGCTGAGCAGGTAGTGTACAGTTGATTTTTAGAGCTGTCTCTCTAAAAGCAGCTACCTGCTACGACTGAAAATGACACTATGAGAGCGGTGTGAGAGTGAAATCAAAAAGCCAACAGCTAAACAATGGGCTGAAACTTGATATAACGCTCTGTAAAGCCGAGGGGAGCTGCAGGTTCAGGTGATGATTCACTGTAAATTCATCTCTATGAGCGACCCCTTTCACTTTGTTATTTGATACGTTGTTAAAATGTGGATTATAACCACTTTAACTGGCTTCTACTTTACTGGAATTAAAGGTCGAATGTCTAGGATTTAGCGGCATCTAGAGGTGAGGTTGCAGATTGCAAACAGCTAAAACTTCTCACTTGTGCCAAGTGTGTTGGAGAACCACCGTGGCCGCTGTGAGAAGGCGAATAAACCTATGTAGAGCCAGCGTTTGGCTTGTCTGTTCTGGGCTGATGTAGAGACAACATGGCAGACATTGTGGGAGAGGATCTGATGTGTATGTACACACACAACGATCCTTATTTTCAGGTGATTAGAAACTAATGAGAACATGAGTATTATATTACATTTCTGCCAATATGTCCCCTTAAATCCTACACACTGGACCCTTAAAGTAAAACTTGTAAAAGAAACATTAGTGAAATCAAATGTTACAATATAGAGGATGGTATGTTGTAAATATTGACAAATGACCACCAGAATCTTTTGGTTAAATTTGAACTTCATTGTGGGAACAGTGTGTCTGACAGAATAATCTTAACTTAAAGGTCCACTAATCAGTAGGGCTGTAGTCAACCAAAGAAAATCTTGGTCGTAAAAGTCGTACATAATCTTCAACTAATTGATTAGTCGTTGGGAAAAAAAAAATCTGCACGTTATTTTTACTTCTGCAGTGGTGTGTCTGTGTCACTCTGCAGTTACACCTCCAAAACACCTAGTCGGCGGTGGAGGACTCTGTTAAGTGCTGTAAAGTTTAGTTGATTCAAAACACACATTAAACATAGCTTAATAGAGACAATTTCAAGCGCAAGTACATAAATTGGCTTCACTATAAATCGCAGAATTGACAGACAAACACTTGTCTTTATCTGGACACATTTCCCCCACCAATACAACATGCTAACATTATTAGCACAAGTCTATGGCATTTTACATTGTATAAATTAGCCTAGCGTCTAGCGATCTTTCCCTCTTCTCATATAAAACCAGGAACAACAGCAACATTTAACAAAGGTAATGGTACATAATTTAGCTCCATTACAACTCACAAGATTCACTGACAAAACAACCGTCACACTAAACACGTTTTCCAAACAAATACAACATGCTAACGTTATTAGCGCCAGCCTATGGCATTTTACATTGTATACATTAGCCTAGCTCATATGAAGCCAGGATAAATCCTGAAGTATAAATCCCTGAAGGATAGATTACACACAAGGCTTAAAATGCTATTTTAGTGGAGGCTTTACTGTCTTCACGATTTATTGTTTCTTATCTGTGAAATACGAGTAAATACAAGCTTCGTTTCCACTGAGGGAAATGGTTTCAGTATACAGAAACTGACAGGAGGTCTACGTCACCGCGACGCTGAGCGTAGGGTGGGCGAGTTCAACTTTCTGTCCCCATTGTCACAGGTAACTTAGCCTGCCCCCCCCTCCCCCCGCCACAGGAAATACTGGATTAATCCTGGAAAGCTACTGATGTAACACTTTTCCTCTTATGAAAGTAACACGGCCATTATTCGACTAATGAGAATTTGGTCCGACGAGAACATAGTGACCAAATAATTGACTAGTCGACCAGGAGACTACAGCCCTACTAATCAGCTTTATTGGAGCTTTCAACCCAAATAGAATTATCTTCCCAGTCACAACATCAACTGGGAAGGTGTCATCAAGTTATCAATCAAGCACAGTGGGCGACGAGAGAAAGATAAAGAAGGCCGTTCACATCCGACCCCAAAGATTGTCTTTGAATAGTGACCAGGGTTACATGAGGGCTGGATGATATGGTCAAAATCAAATATCACGATATTTTTGACCAAAGACTTTGATATCATTGTTTTGTATATCCATACAGTACGATTTTTGATAGGTGATGTGAGTAAAAAAGACCAATAATAGAACAGCTGGACCATAATGCAGCATTTAAAACCAGGAAAAGACAACACTGTCGATGTTACAATATCCAAAAGATGAATTTAGTCTGATATCACAGTATTGATACGATATGGATATTGGAGATGCTGTTTAAAGCTTCAACAAAGTTAGTAAGTGGACCTTTGAGCTGGGATTATTTTGTTGCACGTTTTACTTAAATGGTCACAAACTATTATCGTGAAATTCTGCCCTTGCTGTACTGCATGTGACAGGCTTGTAAACATACTTTCTGATCTGTGAACAGGATTGTAGTTTTGCTGTGTCCTGATTGTTGATTAGCTGTTTTGTCTGTGTACTCTGAGGTATGTGTGCCTGATGAAGGGCTGTATAAATAAATACATGCAAATGTGAACTTATCTGTGGTACCCCCAAAGAGAGCAGTTTGGGCTGATGCTTGCTGGGTATTGCGTTGGAGGGCTTACATTTCGATTATGGTTACAGAATAAAGGAGGCGCCCAGTAGCTCAGCAGGTAGAGCAGGCCTCCCATGTACAAAGGCAATGTCCTTGCTGCAGCGGCCACGGGCTCGATTCCAGCTTGTGGCCCCCTGCTGTATGCAACCCCCCACCCAACACTGTCCTATCTAACAAAGGCAAACGAGCCATGAAAATAATCTTTAGAATAAAGGAGCTGGCTTGCTTAGCTTCCACGTCTATCAATCTAGTATCTCTGCATATGATATACAAGTCCATTTGTTGTTGTTTTTTAATAGCATTTAAGCTGTTTTACTGCTTCTTCATAGTTTAAATGTGTGTTGTTGCTGCAAATTGTCTGCAAACCGAAATGTCTTTATTGTACAGTAAAACTTGAATGTAATCTCTACTCAGCTCACATCTACAGTGCCTCTGCAAATACAGAGAATAAGGCCGGAGATCCAATCAAATCCCCCCTATATCTCCTGTTTTTGTTCTTTTGGTTCACATTTAACATCAGTGGAATTTATTTCTCCCAAGAGTACATTCTCTAAAGCAGGATTTTTGTTTTCTCTGGCTTATGTAAGAGCACAAGCTGCAATGTGCAGATTGGAGTTTTATTATGTGCTCACATGCTGGAAGGAAGATTCAACAAACTCGGCAGCTAAACAAATTATATTCAAGAGCTTTTGTCAGAAAACCAAACCAGGAGAAATGGAGGCTGCAGTGTTGTAGGCTAACATCACAAATGTGGGCTAAAATACTGTGTAGCTTCACGTATTCATTACTGTTAACTAAACTAGTCTTTATTTGGGCGAAAAGAGTTCCCAGGGTCGTTAAGACTGTCATGTATTTGGGTTAAATGTGTGTAAAGGAAAATTTCCAGATGCATCCTGGAAATAGTACATTAACATATGCAAACATTTGTCAGAGGTAAAGCTGCTCAAGAGGCAGAAGTAATCTTCTCAGCTGCAGAGAAACATGTTATGTATCAGCCATTCATTTGTACTCTGTTGAAAAGCTCTGTATTTTCTCAGTAGAAAAGAAGAACCTTGAAACATGGGCGACTTGTGAAATATAATGACAAATACTCGAAAAATGAAGGACTTTCTCATCAACCTCAGCTTCAGGGTTAGTGCTAATTAGCAACACTCAAACATCAGCATGGCACACTGTCTTAGCATTTACCTCAAATGCTACTGTGCCTAAGTAGAGACTCTTTTGATCACGTTATCCTTTAGTAAAGCTTATTTCCCCCCAAATTCAAATGTCAATTTCACCTGACTTGTCTTTTTTTTTTAAAACTAATATGCTATGCTAGACAGTTTTACAACTTTGGTCATGATAAAAGCTAACTAGCTGAAAGAGCTTACTTTCAGTTTGTTAGTGGCTCATGAATAGTTTGATTTCCATTCACATATTGCGCAAATTTTAAAAAGATTTTTTAGGAAACTGGCAAACAAAAATGAGAAGTTATTTGCTTTTCCATTCAATTCTGTTATGTAAATGTTAGTTCATCGAGATAAGCAGTTAGCAAACAACTGCTTATTTACACATTCAGCAGTTGCTGAGCAACGTTATCTTTCATTTGAAGTGGTGTTCAAGAGTTCACTCTCTTTCAGCTCTGTTTTTGGTCTCTACCAACTCCTGAGAGAAACATCTGTCTCCTTAACTGCTAAATCCTCCACTATGTTCTCTAACTGTGTGTTTCTGGTGTTTGGTGCTGAGCAGGTAGTGTGCAGTTGAACCTGTTGTGACTGAAAATGAAACTATAAAAGCAGTGAGAGTGAAATCAAAAAGCCAGCAGCTAAACAATGGGCTGAAACCATAACGCTCTGTAAAGCCGAGGGGAGCTGCTGGTTCAGGTGATGCACTGTAAATTCATCACTATGCGTGACACCTTTCACATTATTTTCACACTCTCATTTGATTTAGTGGCATCTAGAGTTAAGGTTGCAGATTGTAAACAACTAAAACCTCTCCCATGTGCCAAGCACGTAGGAGAACTATGGTGGCAGATGCAAAAATGCAAATGTTATGCAAATACTGGGAGCCCATCGAGATAAGCAGTACGTGGCACTAAGTCTCCAGTCAGGTGCCACTGCAGAAGAAGAGGGCACAACGAGATGTTGAAGTTAAAAGAGCGCCAGTCAAACCACAAACGAAGAGACCCATCAACATGGCGGTTATTTGAACCTTGCCATAATGGCATTGGAGAGAATACATATGAGGCCAAACATAGCAATAATCCACTTTGGTCATTTACTTTATTCATTACACATGAAGTTGTGATTCACTTTTTAAGTAACAAGATGTAGCCCTTACCCTAACTTTAACCGCCTCTCTTTTAACCTTAAAGGGATAGTGCACCCAAAAATGAAAATTCACCCATTATCTACTCACCCATATACCGAGGGAGGCTCAGGTGAAGTTTTAGAGTCCTCACAACACTTGCGGAGATCCAAGGGGAGAGTGGGTAGCAAAACAACTCCACCTAATGGAGGCTTACAGCGCCCCAGATTCAAACACATAATTGAAACCACAAAATATCTCCATACTGCTCGTCCATAGTGATCCAAGCGTCCTGAAGCCCTGGCATAAAAAGCTGTTTGGAAAAACGTCATTTGAACTCTGTTTTTAGCCTCATTGTAGCCTGCAGCTCTAACTGACTCTCTGTGCACTGCGTTCACGTGTGCGCGCTTCTAAAAACAAAGTCAGTGACAAGTTGGTAAACACATTGGAACATTTAGCAGCTTACGAGCCAGATATTTCTCTCTGGAGTGGGTGGAGACCAAAAACAGAGCTAAAATCTGTGAATATTGGACGTGAATTCATCAGCTACCCAGAAACATGAGTCTAAATTAATGTTAATGCAGCACAGGGGAGTAGTGAACTCCATCTAAATAAACTAGTACGTACTTAACTACATTTTGCAGTAGCTTGCTGGTAGTTCAACTACATTTATATTTGTGTAGTAATTTAAGTAGTTATAATACTTTTTTGTCATTTTAATTTGTGTCAGTTTGAACTTCTTTTTCTAAGTAGCTTTAATTAACCACATTAGATTTCCCAGTAAGATACCTTTGCTGTAGTTCAACTCCTTCCTGTGTGAAGTCATTGGTAGCTTGCAAAGCTACGTTTTCAAAGTAGCTTCCCAAACACTGTGCTCATGTTCCCCTGGATGTATACTGTAAAGAAGCAACAGCTTGCATGTTTACCGTCACGTCTTTTTAAGGCAGTCATATGTCAATGTTGTGTTTACAGCTTGTTCCGCTGCCCCCAGGTGGCCACAAAAAGTTAGCCAGTTATAATGCATTTACCTTTCCATAACTCCCCATGTCTCTGCCTCCCTCTCTTCTGTGGCTCTTCTGGTTCCCAGTGCTGCTGTGCCCGCGGGTGTGGACCTCCCTAGAGAATGGCCGGGTGACGGTGAAGCCTCCTGGGCCGCCAGTGGAAGGGACAGTGCTCCATTACAGCTGCCACGCCGGCTTCATCCTGGAGGGCAGAAACATCAGCCATTGCACTAAACTGGGCAAGTGGGATGCGCCTAAACCCACCTGCCTCTGTGAGTTTCTAAACCAGTGCGACTAAATCAGATTTTACATTAAGCTTCCAATTACAGTGGAATCAAGAAAATGATGTTGCATGATGGGATGCCAATTACTGCCTATGGGGAGATTAAGCAGGGTAAAACAGACAGTGATTAATGACATTTACATTATCATTGCAGCCAGTCTAGTTGTAGAGAGTCAGGAACATTCATACCATAGTGACCACTGTGGCATAAATGTTCCTGATGTAAAGTCCATCATAGCAATAATAACAAATCAATTCAGAGATTAAGATGTTTCTGAAATTGATATGGCAGATGCTATTTGCATGCCAGTGTTCTTAGCCAACAATGCTTTTACATCTGGGGTGTGAATAGCCAATGTGGCGGGTGTATATTACTGCGCATCTTAGCGATGTTGAAATATGACCTTAACTCGAATGGGGCTATATTCAGCTGTTCTGCTGAAGTTTATGTACACAGTGCGCATTCAGCAGCTTTATACCTCCTAAAACTGCCAATAAGTCAACTAAATCTAAGAATAATAAGCCAGTGTTGACTCACACAGAACTCAAACCCCAGTCTCCTGTGTAAAAGTCTTGTGCTTGATCTTCTCACCCACCACGTCTGATTTCCTCCACGGACTGTGCTGCTCTTTATAGTGCGTCACCTAACTTGTGTCAGTACATTTGTGAGTTTTTACCACTTTCATCTCTGAGGGCATCTGAGATTGGCTGGCACTAGTCTTAACCCTGACCTCTTAGTCCTACTCCCATGTGCGCCCCGAAGCATCAACGTGACGAGTACTATTCAGTGACAGCACACAGTGGGATCCATAATAAGGTGTCGCAGGGGTGGGTGTAAATCAAGAGAGTAGGTTTCAATTCAACTTTGGGTGGGGGACACATGGTAAGAAGGGGTTCTGGGGCTCCTCCCCAAGGAAATTTTTAGCATCAAGCACATAATTTCCTGCATTCTCGTGAAGTTTTAAGTACCAATTTATGGTGGAAATGTCTTTACTGATGTAAAGAAAAGCATAAAAATCAGGTGACAGGTGATGATTTACTATTGTAGAATATAATGCAGTAAGGCTGTCACGCATTCTGTATTGCTTTTGAATATTTATTCTCCCGTAAATCAACTTTTCTCATTTAATGTAATCCCTGCTGAGACAACACACATGTGGGCAAGGCATGATTTACTTTTCCAGTCATTTTTTGTATCTTTCCTTTTCAGGAATAACTTCTTTAAATGTGCACATGGGACCTTTTCATATCAATGATAAATTAATTCAGATTAATTAATTTATAAACCTCTGGACTCAAGTAGCTCATATGAGTTCTCAGCAACATTTCCGCTCGTGTTTAAAACCTCCTGCACATAAAACATATCCCACACATCTCTGTTCTCTAAGAAGTCGACAGTTAAGTTTTAATATTTTGAGTAAAAAGTTGTAATATTACAAAAATAAACTTGTCATTTAGTGAGAGTAAAATCATAATGTTTAAAAAAAGGATCATGTGAATGGGTTGGGTCAAATATTGGTTGGGACATGTCCCTACCGTCCACATAAAAACCTACGTCTTAAGTATAAATTGCGGAATAGCTGCAGTGTGACTATTCTCACCCAGATGTAAATAAGACACTCCAAATTGATACTGGTGATTTATTGTGTTATGAGAATCATTTCTGTTTGCCGCCTCAGACAAGATTAAGAAAAAGATGTATTTCTACAGATTTACTGTCAGTTTTAGAGCTGAAACAATTAGTCAGTTAATAAAACAGACAATTTATCCGCAACTATTTTGTTAAGTAATTGTTTCAGTCGATTTTTCAAGCAAAAAAATAAAATAAAGAATAAATAAAACGGCAATTGTTGTCTGGTTCCAGCATCTCTTAATCATTAATTACAGTAAACTGAATATTTTTGGGTTGATAAGATAAAATAAGTGATTAAGTACATTACCTTGGCCTCTGGTAGATATGTACAGTATATTTATGTCTTTAACCTTTCTTCTAACATTTTCTCATCAAAATTGACTGGTCAGTTAATCTTTAATGAAAATGATTGTTAGTTTCCGCCCCAGCACGTGTATTTAAATCCCTAACTGATTTATTATTTTTTGGCAGAGATGTATATTGTAATCACATAAACAGAACACATCATGTGCCATTTCATCACACAAACATGGCTCACTTAGCTTCAGCAGCCTGCCTCACAGAAATGGGAACACGAGGCTTTAAAGATGATGATTACAAACACCTGCTCTCCCAACGGCGAAACACGGTTGCTAGGCAATAAATGATCCAACCAATCAGAGTGCGGTCCACAGAGGATAGTTCGTACCTTTGACACAGGCAGGTCTAAACGAGTCATGAAAACCTGGTTTAAGTACGTACATGATAGGATAAATACTGAATGAATATAAGATGAGAGCATGAGTGGATATTTGTGATATCATCGACACCCATGAGTGATCTCGGTTACAACAGTTGGCATGTCTAAAAGGATTTGTCCAAATTAGGGCAACCAAATGAGGATTAAAAAAAAACACACGCACATAGATGAAACAAAGAACTGAAAGAAATGAGATTGCCAACTGGTCATCAGAGGGGTTGGCATGGCAACCAATAAAGTTGCTATGGGAATGGTAGTATTAAAAGGGATGAAAGAGGGAATTATCAGCACAGTTGGACTGACCAACTGAAAGTAGGCGACTTATTGTGTAATAAAAAAATCTAGAAGACGTGTCAGTGCTTCATGATTCACTCATATTTGTACCTATGATGCACTCTGATTATTTTAGTGTGTGTTTAATTCTTTGTTGTTGGTGCTTTAACATGTTCTGTGGTACTGACGCAACGTAACTGTTTGAGATTTAAAGGTTTTTCTCTGTGTTTTAACGGTGAGTCTGTAAAATATCATGGCATTACATAATATCTGCCACAGTTAGAGACCTCCTGCCAGGAAATGTTTGCTCAGCATGCAGCCAACAGTGCATTGCTCAGCACAGCTACAGTGATGTGTCACTGCCATCTAGTGGAGGGAAATCACTAGATTTTTGAGCTTCACTGCACCAAATCTTTACAAATTATACATTATAAAGGTGAATTATTCAATTGGAAAACATCAGGATTTTCCATCAAATGCTGAAGCAAAATAATCTGTTCTGTTTACACATGAATTGTGTTTTTTAATCAACTGTTCTTTTTCCTTCTTTTCATGTTTGCCGGCCAAAGATGACAGAAACTACACAGGTAGGAATCTTTTATTGTTATAATTGTATCCATGCTAACCAAATTCTGCTACACTGCAGTAGTTAATTAGTTATGTTCTTTTTCTTTAATTTTCAAATTTTGTCATAGACATTAGGGGTGGGAATCCCCCCCTCATGATGCAATAGTATTGGGATTTTAAATGTTTTGTTATGATAATATATACTGCAATATATTGCAATTCCCCTTTTTTCAACTGCAAGTTATGTCCCCAAATGAAAACTTTATCATTATCTGTTTTTATCCAGTACGATAAAGTCATTTAAGTCATTTTTATTGCAGCAATATATATATTTCATGGACTGAAAAAGCAACAACAGTGAGCAGAAGCTTAATTTGTATGTTAATGTGTCTTTACAGGACTAATGATCTATATAGCCAAAAAAAATCATACTATGCTGTATCTATTTTTTACCCCACCCGTTATAGACCTACAAATGCCAACATGAAGTTATAAAACACTAAAACACGATAATATCTGCTTGTCATCATTGGCTTTAAAAACAAAAGATAAGATAGACTTTATTGGGTAACACTTTACTTGAATGTATCTACATAAGGGTGACATGACACTGTCATAACAATGACATGACACTGTCATGAACTTGTCATAAACATTATGTACATGTCATAAACGTTTATGACTGCTGTCATTAAGTGTCATTCGATTTTGTAATGACAAGTTGACATTGTTTGGGTTGTCTTGATTATGACAACTTGACATTAATTAAAGTGACATTAGCAGAAGTTGTCTTTGTCATGATAAGTTGACATTAAATTTGTTTGGGATGTGCTTATAATGACAACTTGACATTAACCAGGATGACATTACCAGAAGATGTCTTTGTCATGATAATAATAATCATTATGTCAACTTGTCATAAACACAAAAAGAGGTGCATTTCTTGTTAATGTCAAGTTGTCATGACAAAGACATCTTCTGGTAATGTCATCCTGGTTAATGTCAAGTTGTCATTATAAACACATCCCAAACAAATTTAATGTCAAGTTGTCATGACAAAGACAACTTCTGGTAATGTCATTTTAATTAATGTCAAGTTGTCATTATAAGAACTGAATGACACTTAATGACAGCAGTCATAAACATTTATGACATGTACATAATGTTCATGACAGGTTCATGACCGTGTCATGTCAAAGCTATGACAGTGTCATGTTACTCTTATGTAGATACCTTCAAGTAAAGTGTAACCCTTTATTATCCTGAAGGAAATTTGTCTTGGGTACATGCGGTACCTGCCTTTAAAAGATACAAAACAGTTATACATACAGTTCCTACATCTATACAGTCCACACACAGAGCTGTCGCTATTCACAGTCCCACACACACAGACTGCCATCAGCCAACAAATTGCACATTGTCAATTGCACCACACATGTGTTTTACATAGTTATCCTTAAAACTTACATGGTTATGTTAAAAAAGTATATAAATAAGTATATATGTACATGGATACACACATACATACATTCTTACATGCACATCATACCTACACATACACATTGTATGGTTCAGATACAGGTAGCTTCCCATTTAAGGCTTGAATGGACAAGGGGCCATATTGGTATCAGCCAACATGCTGATAATATCGGCCATTGTCAGCTTTAAAATGAACTACCATAATCGGCCAACATGCTTTTTCTTAATTTGCACAATGAATAATTATTACATACATTGAAAAGCATTGTATTTCCTGTCTCCATCTGCTAGTGGGCCGTCACAATAAGAGTATGTGTGCATAATATGATGTTAATTTCACTAAAATTGGGTAGGGGAAAAAAGTGGATATATCTATCAGTATCGGTGGAATGACTTGTCACATATCGGCATATTGGATATCGGCAAAAACTAACCCTAACTAAAACATACAGTTGCTGTGGTGACACGTTTGTACAACATTGACTTCTTACACAATAAATAACACTGCAAAACAGAGAAATCACTGCAACACACAAGGTTCCATGCAGAAAAAATAATAAGAAATAAAGGACATTTAACTAAAAAACATAGCCCTTAAATAACCATATAAAGATTAACAATAAAATATAAAATGTCTCATCTAGATCACATAACAGTGTTTTTTCTCTTCAGACCCTTAAACCTCTCAGTTCCTATATGTAATGGTGGTGTACCTGAATGTTGCACACTGTGCACACAGAGATCTCTTGAGGCACTGCTTGGGGTCAAATGGGGTCGCTTGACCCCACTTGATTTTGAAAGGAATATACTATAGGCTGCTTTTTTCAGCACTTTATTTATTTCTGTGAGGAAAACTAAATGAAATTGTTATTTTAACATTTAATTATTCAAGATGAAAGGGCACAGTGAAGACATGAACACAAGCTAAATTCATAAAGCCTCCTCTCTCTCTGCTAAACAACTTTATCCTGCGCTAATAGAGCCAATAGAACAATGGCTATTCTCTCCATAAAATTTTCTCAATAAAAGAAGCCTTTTAAGTATGTATGATTGTAAAAAGAAACAACATAAGACAAACAGAATAATCTGCTCAAAATCCATCCAGATTGCTTGTTTTACACATATGTCCGGCAGTTAGGTGTTTGAGTTAATTGTACAGTTCTGTACTATTAGTTATGCATTGAAAATAATATGTAGTACCAATAAAATATGTCCTTGAGTCAGAGGTCGTCAATGATTGGAAACCACTGGCTTCAGGCTTTGCAATACTGTGCTGCAGATGCAATATAAACTGTCACCACTAGAGGGCAGCAGCAGCCTAAAGCACTGACAAGTGGTTGTTCTGTAAGTGAAGGTTAAAATCCAGCAGGTAAAATCTGACTGAGTTGGAAAAATAAAGCTTCTTCTATCAACAATTTATCCAATTAAAGTTTTTTTTTCTGATGCTAGAGCCAATATTATTAAAGTTGTAAACTCATTTAAAGAAAATCTTTTTTATATCTAATATTAGAACACATACATATTCCAGAGCTGAGAGCACCCCCCAGTTCCTTACCTGCACATTACACGAGGAACATTATTTTTTTACCCCTGAGTATTGAGCAAATCCTTCTTTTATGAATCAAATCACCAAGAGAGGAGATTAAGACGATTTAATTTGCTCATAAGCATTATTAGTAAGGTAGCATTTTCAGCTCAGCTCATCCACACTAACCCCCTCTTGTCTCCAGTTAATTTTATTTCCAAAGTTTTAATGAAAATTGTGTATTAGTTTGTCGCTAATCGTTTTCGCTACGCTCTTGCCCTCTACCAAGACTAAAAAGGGATTTGGAAAAAGGAGAGCTGTGAGTTTGTCACAGTGCAGGTATCATATAATCAGGTGTGGAACATTCTGCTTACTCACCCCAGCCCTACATAAAGCACTATTAAACCTGTGGTTCTGAGCGAGTTTGCGGCAGGTCATTTCTGTAAATGAACTAATGTGCTTAGCCAGCCTTCGCTGGAAAAATAAAGGGTCAAAACATCCACTAGTTCAGACATTTTATCTGATCCCAGGCAGGGATGATGAATACATGTGTTACTGTTGCAGGATGGCTCACCCTCTTGCTCATTTAAGTCACCACATTAGGAATTGGCCAGATATTGAATCATACACTTGCTACAATCCTTGAAAGGATCACAACACTCTAATGAATTAGGCACTAGACTTTCACAAGCCAAACACACTTGTTCCCCTCATGCATATACTGCTCATGCGCACTTTATATAAAATGCTAAACTGGGGATATAGTTTCATGTAAGTGATCCCAGAAGTTGCTGATAAAAACTTTCCAAATGCCACGGACAGACTTGACAAACACATAATTAACAAAGCAGCAGAGAACACTGTTTCCTCAAATAGAAATTTCCATCTACTGTCTCAATGCTGACCTCCTTCTGGCTCTGCTCTCTCTCTGTCTCCTCTCCATGTGCCATCACCACCCACTTACTGCCTCCTCAGCGGGAGAAAGGTTAATACCCTGCTCCTGTCTGTGTCTGCTATACCCTGTGTGTGTGCGCGTTTGTGTGTGTGTGTGTGTGTGTGTCTGCGCACACACATATATGCAGTTGGATTGCATCTCTAGTTTCTGTTTTCTCCAAATGCAGTATAACAAAACCACAGTAAAGGTAAACAGTCAATACAAACAAAGCAGCAAACAACAAGGACATAACAAGCTGCGGCCCAGTCACCAGAAGAGAATGTTGGCATTGTGCGTTTCTGCAAACCACACATACATTACATTTGTAAAGTACATGTTTCATATGTATCACGTACGTACATACATACGTATCATATCAATGTTTATAAAGTGACATAATATACAGTGCCCTCCAAAAGTATTGGAACAGTGAGGCCAATTCCTTTATTTTTGTTGTAGACTGAAAATATTTGGGTTTGACATCAAAAGATGAATATGGGACAAGAGATCAACATTTCAGCTTTCATTTCCAGGTATTTACATCTGGATCTGATACACAACTTAGAAGATAGCACCTTTTGTTTGAACCCACCCATTTTTCATGAGAGCAAAAGTATTGGAACATGTGACTGACAGGTGTGTTTTGTTGCCCAGGTGTCTCCCAATTACATTGATTATTCAAACAATAAATAGCACTGAATGTCTGAGCTCAGTTTCAGATTGGGTACGATAGGTTTTGCCTGTGCAGACTGCATTTAGAGGTGGAACCAACATGAAAACCAGAGAGCTGTCTATGGGTGAAAAAGAAGCAATTGTGAATCTGAGAGAAGATGGACAATCAATCAGAGCCATTGCACAAACATTGGCCATAGCCAGTACAACCATTTGGAATGTCCTGAAGAAGAAAGAAACCACTGGTGTACTAAGCAACAGACGTCGAACAGGTAGACCAAGGAAAACATCAGCAGTTGATGACAGAAACATTGTGAGAGCTGTAAAGAAAGACCCTAAAACAACTGTTAGTGACATCAGCAACAACCTCCAGAGGGCAGGAGTGAAGGTATCACAATCTACTGTTCGCA